TTCACAGATAACAGACGAAGTACAAAAGTTAATGTGAAAAGTCAGTCTCAGCTCAAAAGCCTCTGCAAACAACCATCATCCCACTAAACACACTGCACCTCCTGTGCTCTCCGGCCATTCTCTGCCTCCCTTCGCTTCTTCCTCTCACTCCTCCGCCCTCAATCCTCTCTCTTCCTCCTCCTCCTCCTCCTCCTCTTCCTCCGCCACTCCTGGCACCGATCCAGTGTGTGCCCACATATTACATTTGCAGCACGCCATCCTTCACCCCGAGTGGCAGAGAAGCCCCAAGTTCTTCATTCACTCGCATTATTTACACAAACAAAGTCCTGCTCCGTTTCTGTGACAAAGCCAACTAAATCTTTATGGCTCTTTCATGTATTGTCTGCTCACGGTTCCCTTTTGTCCCCCGGCCATTGGCCCGGGCCCTGGATACAATGAGCCCCGGAGAATGGAGGCAGATTGAAGGAATGCACCTCAATAAACCTAATTATGACATGATGACTGCGCTCACCATGGTAGGGGTTTTTCAAAGATCCCGGGCTTATTCAATTAGCCCTTTCCAGGATCCCCTTTCACCAAATAAAGTTATCCCTTTGACTGTTTGTATTGCAGAGTGGAATGTGTGTGTGTGTGCGTGTGTGTGTGTGTGTGTCTGCGCGCGCACACGTGGCTGGCCTAAATGGAAATGTATCGGCCCTCAACAAGGCTCCTCTGTATTATCTGGTTAATTTCACCTAACGAAGTATGGACTCTAAAAGATACACTGTGAAAATGTGAGGCAGGAGGGAAGGAGGGAGAGAGGGAGGGAGGGAGGGAGGCAGGGAGGCAGGGACACCGTGACTGTTTTAATCATTAACTTTGTCTCCAGGGTTAATTACTATGACGCTGGGAGTTTGGTACGGCCCAGCAACGGGCCTAGAGGGCCAACTTCACTGCCAAATATATAAATATTTCACAGAAAGTGGAGAGGGGTGGGGATTTTTGAGTATGGATTTCTTTTTGTTTTAACTTATATTTACTTATTGCGCTGGGATTTGGGAGAGAATGTGGTTTAATTTACATGTCAAAAAATAAGCCTTGCATTATTACTTAAGTCATTCAATATTCAATTAACTGGACAACAGTCTCGTTCACATGACTTTTTAAAAATCCCATGAACTCTCACTGTTGACCACATAACTGCAAACCTTAATGCTCTAAAGCCACCGTTCAAAAAAAGCTGTGACTAATCAGAAAAGTCAGCAACAGGTAATAAAAAACAGGGCTGAAAATTTGGTTTGCAATATTGTATTATTCATCTGATAACGTATCAAATGTGCTGGTGTTGTTTTGATAGTTTGGTGTTAATTCATTTGCTGACAGGATCTATCAACTGGAGATATCTTGTATTGAAAAGTTACAACAAGTAATGCCTTGTTCCAGAGCAGACACCTTCACAACTATAAAGATAAAGGTGTAAAATATTATATATCCTCTTTTTTTTTAATAGGCGGGACATGCTGGAAATGTATCATAATATATTTCTAATCAACACGCAGAAGGTTAATAATAAACTTAATTAGAAACTTTGCGGAATTGGACTGACTTTCCTTTGTGCGCTCTGGAGGATGCGGCCCAGATATTAAACGAGCTGTGCGCCGCAGGCTGAGAGAAACAGAGAGGAAGAATAGGAAACAGAGGGAGAGGGGCGGTGTTGCTCTCCAGATGAAAGTGAGATGAAATAAAAGAGTCGATTTAATCTGCTTGAAGAGATTTGGGGAGCAAGTGGTGGAGGAGGAGGAGCAGGGGAGGGGGGGATGAGTTTTCGGAGTTGTGCGCAGCGCAGGACGGGTGGCCGGGGCCCCCATTGTGAAGCTGCGCTCCGGGCCAGACCGGGGCTCTCCGGGGAGAACATTGGTCCCCATTCACCAAAAACACTCTTTAATACACTCCCTCCGTCATTAAATGTGACATAGCACAATATCGACATCATTTAGAAGACATTATTAATGTTCGAGGGGGCAAGGCCGCGGGACTCATCAAAGAATCAATAATGGAGCGTGAGTTACAGGCTGGAGATGGCACTGTGTTATTACCGCCATCCTTCAAGCCGGAGAAGGCCACTTACAGTTTTGTTGACCAATTACAGTCTGAATATTATGACAAACACGGCCATTAAACTTCATCAAATGCTGCTCAATCGGACAATGTTGCTTTTTCCATTTTAAAGCAGTGGAATAAAAGGAGAGAAAGAAAATGACCCTCGGTTTACTGACGTCAGAAGAACCAAATCAGTATGTATAACTCTTTTTATATCACATATTATTATTTAAATTATAGCTTATGTTGGCAACCTTAAAACTTTCTTATTGACTTGTCACTTTTATGTTTTTTTGGGACCTTCCCTTCCTCACAAACATGTGTGGGCACTCTTGAACCATGCGCATATTTGTAACTTTTACGCATCTGAAAGCGAGGTTGAGCGTTTCATGCACATTTTTTCTGCGCGTACACGTACGCGGGGGGCGAGCACGCATCCTTGGGCAATACGTGAGTGGATTTCAGAGGCCTCCATTGTCATTCTGAATGGCAGTCGCGTTCTTTGGCCGACCCCAAAAGGAAACATTTTGTAGGTGAAAACGGCCATTTTCTCTCGGTGAACGGTGCCGGAGCGCTCCCTGAATAATTCATCCTTCATTGCGGCCTCATAATGTGTTTTGTCGGGCTTTTCTGTGGAGAAGCCTCTACCTCTCCCCTTCTCTTTTCTCCAGGCTGAATTATAAACAGGCCTGCCTTCTTCTTCTTCTTCTTCTTCTTCTTCTTCTTCTTCTTCTTCTTCTTCTTCTTCTTCTTCTTCTTCTTCTTCTTCTTCTATCAGCGGCGGCCCAAAGCTGTTTCCAAGCTGGCCCTTTTGTCCGCGCGCAGCCCAAGCGTGAGCCCCAAATAGACTCTCGCGCCTTTGTCTCCCAAGTTCATCCTTGAGCGTCCCGTTGTGCGCGCGAGGCGTGTCTTTGTGAGGAGATGGAAACCGTTGAACAAATGTTTGATCAACTCATCTGGGGGACATTTTGTCTCCTCAGACCGGTCCTTTATCTCCCCTCCCACTATTTTACTGATGCGGAGACGAAGAGAGTTCCTACAGGGACATGATGGGGCATGATGGGACACATGTTGACATCTAGCTGCTTAAAGTATTTTTTTTAAAGAAAAAAAAAGGGAGGGGGGGGAGCTGGAAAACTCATTTGATGCTTTGGTGGACGCATAGTGCTATCTTATTAATTGACTATCTTATTAAGTGATTAAATAGGCAATAATACATTTACATTTCTAAATGTTAGTTATATCTTTAAAGTTAGACTGAGAGTCCAGGAATTAGCCTTGCCCCATTTCAATTTAACTGAACTACACTTTAAAGTATAATAAACTATTTCTCCAGCGAGAAGAAAAAACATTTAAATTAATTTCATCCAGTTAAAAAAAAAAAAAAAAGAGATGACATGCACATTATCAGCACAGTTTGGTTTCTGGCGTCAAACTCACCGGTGACTCGACTGTTGTTGTTCAGGTTATTTGGAAAGTATAGCTGCAGAATGAAACGAGTAAGTTGAGCGTGACTGACGTTCAAAATGGGTCTAATTAGGTTTAATGTATCTGCAGAGCAATGAGCCCGAAACCGCTCACAAATCTCCAATTATAGGCTCCTGTCTGTGAAACTGTCCATTGAAGGGAAATGAAGAAAATATGTTTTAATTTTCTGGCCTGTGACTCTTAATTCATACAGCTTTCACCAGAAAGTTTGGCTTGGGCCTACACTGTAAAATATCAATCTGTATAACAGAGAATATATATTTTTTAATATTTTATATATGAATACACTCATTTCAAATCTAGAAAACTTGATTCGACCCTGTTTTAAAAACAAACTAAACTGCATTGAAAACAACTTATCTAAGCAGTTTTTAATTTTCACTTGTTTCATACTGAACAGCTTGTACAGGTGGTCACTTTTTACAGTGGACATCACCGCCTGAAACACTAATAAAAATTGATTTGTTGCACAAAATGATGATCAAACTATAAACAAACACCCAAAGAGTGACGTGAACTATGTTTTCACTGCCTAAGTTATTAAGGCATTACACTTAAATATGGCGGATGAATTTTTAATGGTGTGGACGAACTTGTATTTTTAATATGGCTTTTAAAGTACGTGCATCATTTTTTTTGCAGACTTGCTGTAACATGGCTATTCAACCAAACTGCTTTTAAACCACTGCTGAACACACACACACACACACACACACACACACACACACACACACACACACACACACCCATACACACACCCACACACACACACCCACACACACACCCATACCCACCCCCACACACAACCACACACACCCCCACACACACTACCCTTTCCCGCACAGAGCCATCACCTGCTGCTTGATTTACGGTATGGCCTCATGGGAAAAGCATTAGCAGGAGAGATATGGTCGATAAAGAATTCCTCACAAAGGACGACACACACACGCACACACACACTCTCTCTCTGCCCATCACACCCCCACCCCCACACCCCCCACCCCCATCCAACAACTTTACAGCATGCTAAAACTTCACGTGCAGGCGACTTCTACGACTGAATAAAACCATTCTGCTTTAATCTCTGCTCAAAAGCGATCAACAGGTTGGAGGTGTGGAGACCTACTAGTGTTTCAAAGCTTTTCCTCCATAATTTAATTCTCTGGAAATGACACAGACTGCAGATTATAAACAGATAAATGGTCTGTTTAGTCTCCACTCTCACTGTACTAATACTTCCAGCAGATACAGCTTAAATAGACAGTTTAGCAGCTGAACACTAAATAAAAAAATACCTGATCAAGCCTGACTCCGCTGGGCTCTAATGTGTGTGTGTGTCACTGATGTGAAAAAAAGATAAACTCCAGCTAACGTTAACATGCAGCCAACTTCTTTTGTGCAGCAACCAACAAAAACTTGGATAGTTTACTCACATCTGTCTCCCAGGATGCCCTCGATGCTGTGTTTGGCCCTGCGGTCGTTGTCCTCCAACTCCTTCTTCTCGATTTCATCTTCATCCTCCTCTTCGTCGCCTTTTCCCCCGAACTTACTCCGCATGATGCGACTGATGGAGCTCACTGTAAAAGTAAAAGTCAAAAACTACAAATGAGTTTTTAAAAAAAAATTATATAAATATTTATATATATGTTATATATATATTTATAAATATAATATATATAAAAACTGATATACACAAAGTATTAATTGGCTCTAAACTAGACGAAAATAAAGAGCATTAAAAATTAGAAATAGATTTGTCAGATTTGTTGAGAAAGTTTTTATTACTTTATTTTTTAATATGATAACCTGTTTTGGTCTAAGTTAATTTAGTTATTATTAATAATAATAATAATAATAATAATAATAATAATAATAATAATGTACATTTTGATTCATTTCTGCCCTTTTTTACCTGAAGGCACGTTGTTGCGGTCACATATCCCATCCTTCAGTAATTTATCCCGAATCTCCCAGCTAAACATACCCGGGTTTTCCCGCTTGTATTCTTCAATTCTCTTCTCTACGTCCGGCGTTGTTCCCTGCTACAAAGGTCAGAAAAGTTGCAGTGTTTATTCACTTCGTTGTGGCCCCTGGGGCACAATGCATACAGAGCCTATTATAACTTGAAAATCAACAGGTTACTATTGTGTTTGATTCACTACATGGAAAAGATTAATCTTAAAATCTGCAAGTAGAATATTGGTTATAATGGTTTTATAGGTTTAAGTCTTCATCACCCCTCTGCTCTCTTGGTCCCTACCTTGGGTTTGCTGCCTCCGATGGCCCCGGGTCTGATGGAGCCCGTCTCCTGGTACCGGCACAAGATTTTGGACACGCAGCCGTGGGAGACCCGGAGCTGCCGGGAGATGACGCACGGCCTGATGCCATGGTGGGCCATCTCCACGATCTTATGTCGGATGTGGTTAGGCAAAGGTCTCCCGTTTATGAAAACTCCTCCGAGCTGGTTCACTCGGCCTTGACCCAACGGGGTAGACACTACATTTAATCAAAATATGAGAGGGACCTGTCACCAGAGTTATACAGGCTACACAACACCACGAGGAGAAGTAAAGCTTGAGCTGAATATACTAATAAAAACATATGAAGTTTAATTTTTCTGCTACAAAAATAGCTGACAATAAATATTTTGTTTTATTAAAACAGTAAGCAATAGGCTACCTCACTTTACCTCACATAATTAGCCTACTTAAATATTTAAATTATTTATGAAAATACAAAATATATTATTACATACAGGCTGCAAACAGGTTCAAAATTATTGTTGCTAAAATTATACAAAAATTGTTGGGAAAAAAAACAGTAAAATTAGTCACCAAAGCAGGGATAAAAAATAATGAGTAAATTACTGAATATGTCAGTTCAGCTACCAGAAAGTGGAGATGTAATTGTTTACAACTGTAAAAGTTTGCATTTCTAAGGTGATGGTTTTGTATAATATTGAATGAAAGGTCTATGTGTGTGTATAAAAGCATCAGTGACTTTTTACTAACTAGCATTAAAAGCCTAAAATCCTCTGTCAACATCCAGGGTAGCAAACGGTCCCTTCGGCAATGTGATGCTTTACCTTCCAGTGGGAAGCCACTGCGGGGGTAGTTCTGAGCCAGCGTGGGTCGCATCATCCTGGGTATTGACCCCGCCAACGCAGTCATACCTCCACCACCCCAGTGACTGCTGATATCTCCTCCTAACGGGGGGGAGGCTGCTGCTCCAACACCGGGTCTGCAGCAGGAGGACGCCGTTAAAAACAAAAACAAAAAAAAACCTCCTTGTCGCCTGTGGAGAAGCTTCCTGGAGGGTTAGCCTCTGTTAGCCTCGGTTATAGGGTTAGCCGCAGCCGGGCTACAGCCAAGCACCAGCGTCCCGGGACGGCCACAACCCCTCCGAGTAGTCAAATTTGACGACAAAAAAAAAGAAGAAAATAAGATTTCTGGACGTTCAGAAGTGTTAGTGTCTCAGTCTCCTCGGGTTTATAAGCCAGAATTTGAGCTGTTGGAAGTGTGGTTGCCAGGGCGGTTGTAGCTAGGTCGAAAATAATGTTGTTGTTGTTTGTTGACACCGGTTCAAAGTGAGTGGAGACCGTCAAAAGTAGCGGAGCTCTTCTCTCTCCCCCTTCAGCGCTCCCGGCTGTGATTGGTCGAGCGCGCACACCCGGCACGCAGCGGGGCGCGGTGATTGGCCGAGGCGGAAAACTTTCCTCCAATCAAGGACGCTGTCACAGTTCTGGTCGGACAGGGGCAGGGGCGTCAGTTCACAGAACCCAGAGTTACGGCGGAGTCGCTGCGAGTGACTGTTAAACCACCAAAACGTCCCAAAATCCGTTCATGTGTCGAATGGACTGAGGGAAAAAGTTAAATAAATGATGGATCGGGAGGCGTAATTATTTAGTTAATGTGATAAATTAATAGTAGGTCACCAAAATATTTTGCACAGAAGCACATAGTGGTTCAGGTGTGAGCTTTTTCACGTAAATTGCTGTCAATTAATCATCTTTTATTTCTATTTCTTTTTAATTAATACACCGAAGAATTATGGAAAGTAGTTTAAATAGACTGTTGGTGTGGATTGACAACAGAAACTCAACTTTGTAATGCAATCCACTGCAGCAGATAATAAAAATATATATGTGATTAAGTTGGGCAAAATATTAGAAACACTTTATAGTCCAATACAGAACCAGCACCAAAATAAAAAGCCTATAACAGAGTCTCAGTTCCAACAAAAGCTGAACATTTACAGTAAACTATAATTAATGCTGGGCTGTTGTATTGCACTGCATTAGCATTATTTTGTTGCTTTTTATTTTACTTCACTTGACAAATGACACTAAAACTTTCAGCCATGTTTTTTTCTTGAGGTGACTTACCTCAGCTTTGCATACCATCATTTAAACCAAGATAAAAATAAATAAATCTAGACTTTGACCTTACTCAGTTATGTGGTGCAGTAGTGTATAGTTTACTTTCTCATAAGGCAGAGACCAAAGTGGGTGACTTATTCCTGATAAAACAAAAATACATCCATCACTGAGATTCATTTAGTCACTAATCTGTGCGTAACATTATCTCCAAACTGTGAAATGCGTGCTATCGCCCACGACCCCTAATTTGTTTCCACCCCATGGCCTCGTATATGACACAAATGGTGCTAAAGTGTGTGCACCTCAAGGAATTTATTGTGGTTTTTCAGACTGAGCACCAGCCAGCCGAGAACAGTCTGAAGGGGGACGTGCGCCACAGCAGGATACGACGCCAGGGCGGCCGTAAAGCCAGTCTAGCTCCGTGCCACTGTAGAGAAGAGGGTGTATTTTCATCTCCAAAATGTCTAATAATCAACATTGTCACCACCCAATAAAGAGAATAGGAGTGCAGAGAGTTGTTTCTTTTAAAGTCCAGCTACTCTTCTCTCCTTTTAGGCACTGCGTATCGTGGGTCACAGCATCCTTTAGTCCCTAATCAATCACTGAAGCAAAGGTTCCGCTCCTGGGCTTTGAAATCAGACAAAAGCTGTCCATCACCCGAAGAAAAAGACAATTCCGTCCTCACCAGTTGTTATCAAAGTGGATCCTCGGACCGATGCACGAGAAGAAGAACATTTTTGAAAAAGTTTGTTGAATTAAATTTCCAGCCATGCTTTCCTGAAGGACCTCCTGATTCAAATTTAGTTGTCATTAATTTAATTTCATTCATGATTTTGGAGACATGGCAGAAGAAGGAGCAACTGGGTCAGCTCATCCTCGTGTCAATCAAGTAGGATTTAACCTCATGTAACCATATGCAATCAAAGTAAGGTATGGCATCTATATCCAGACAGCAGCTGAAGCAAACCGGTGCAAATGTCTGGATTTATCATCAGATGTGAAATGTGGCCTAAACAGAAAATATTCAGTGGATGTAAAATGTGTTTTTAGTCTCCGAGTTTGTTCTGCGCCTGCAGGGAAACCTTCTTGTGACTCATGCAAAACTAAAGCTGAAAAGCCCCCCCAGCCACCTGACCAGCCCTTTCATCTCTCCCCCTGCTCACCTATGGGCTATACGGAGCAATAACGGTGCCGCGACGGGGGTCACTGTCATTCACCTTAATTTACGCATGGGGAAGAGATATCCCACAGTTTAAGTAGGTTTCAATTAACAATCACCTCTTCTGATGGCTTTTGGGAGAAAAAGAAAAACGCACTTCAAATGTTGTCTTTGCGGGCAAAAAACGCGCGCGGACAATAGGTGGACGCTGGGTTTAAAATAAGCAGGGGGACCGGGGGGGTCTTTCACCTGCTAAGGAGGATGTCATTATCCTCTGGAGGAAGATTATTATCATGCCCACTGGTGAATGAGCCCTGCAAGTTGCCATAACACGGCTTCAAAGGGAGGGGAAATGTGAGTTTGTTTTTTAACTGATTTTACATTTGTAATAAACCAGGAAAGGCTTAATTAATATTCTGTTGTGGATAATTATTGGAGCCCTAAATCATCAAATACAGACTTTAGAGGCAAATAACAGAATAAATATGTCAACCAGTTTGAGTGAATTTGAGTTATTAGACTATAAAAGCTTTGAGTTATTTGACTTTCTCACATTTGTACTGACTTATTTCGTAAAAGGAAAAAAAATACATCAGTCTTTATGCAGACGAACGTGACGATTGGGGAGTGTCAGTGATCTTACTGAAATTGGATATTACAGCCAAAAAAAAAAAAAGAAATTGGGGAAGGGGGGGGGGGGGCAAATGGAAAACAGAGAGAGGCATGATGCATACCGCGGCCCTTTCTTTAAAAGCGACACTGAATCTCCGTGTCCAATCCATTACCGGGGGATGAAATTCAAAGTCAGAAATCTCGCTTGATGAGAAATAAATTAGTTGCATCACATGCTCTGCGTGGAGGCCATTCACAAACACATATTTGTCAAATCAATTAGTTTCCAATGCGTAGGGTGGGCTAATAATTAATAGTCCACAGAAATAGGGGTTTAAAATAAGGGCGGATATGGTCTGTGCTTTATATGTCTACAACATTATAGAAGGACATTTTTTTATTTGTGGACTTGACTGCTATAGGCTATAGTTACTTTTCATCTTTATATCAACTTATTTCAATATTCTGCTAAAGATACTTTATAATATAATTACACCATATTGGAGCAGCCTACTTTTAAACTGTGTTATTGTTATTCCTTCTTAAGTAAAATGTCTCAATACTTCTTCCCCCACAGGCCTTTTGACTAATGTCATTAAAGGAGAAAAAGAAGAGATGACTTCATATTATGACTTACAGTGAGCCTACATTATTGTATTTTTTAAATGATTTAATAGACCAGAGTATGTAGAAACTTTATAGTGCTTAATAGTTTGTTTTTTTAAATAATTTTATCAATGCTAAAAACCCTCATGGTTAATGTAGCCCGCTTTACACTCTTTTATGTTCATATGGTTTCTATTTTTAAATGCTAAATGTGGCCTATTAATAGTGTTAGATTTATATTTACTGTCACGTGACACAGTTTAAATGTTTTTCATATAATAAGTTTAATAGTTTACTAAAAATACAAGAAGAAGCGTCGGAGGTCAAGGTGATATGTCGAAATAAATATATAAATATATAAAAAAAAAAGACAAGGAAAAACACAAGTCAACATCTTATATAAGAGGAGTAATGTAGACTAAATGCTAGGCTATATGTTTTTCTCATGTGAAATACTGTAGTGTCGAATCCAGTGCTGACTGACAATGTTTAAAAAAAACAAAAAAAAAACAGCTCGTTATACAGAGACCTAAATGTTCAATGAGAGGCATTAAATTCATTGGCTTAGCACCCTCACAATATGTCATCTGATTTTGTTTGTTGTCATGGCTAATTTGTAAACACATATTTGCCTCAAACTATTTTCCAGTAGACTAATCAGTGTAACTGTAGCTAATTGAAAAATACAGCCAAGGCTTCCGTACAATAGACTTTAGTGTTGTGCTGCCACACTGAACCGACCAATCAGCGAACAGAGACTTATTTACATGGCGCTGAGAATATGAAAGAGAGGTTGGGAGGTATATGTGTGTGTGTGTGACAACATTCATTTATGGGGAATGGAACCTTTGGTTAATACATGATGTGAAGTATGTAAGTCCTCAATAGTAACCAGTGATTAGTTGGTGAATGGTCAACACTGGGTTTTGTCTAATCGGTTTGTTTATGAGAGGAAAACCTTGTCGCTGAATGGCTTAATTGATAGAAAGTAAAAGGGAGCTTTGTAAGACCACATAAACACATATGACAAATCTCAGTCTGTAATATTAACAGCACATCAGCATCCAGCCCATATTGAAAAATGTATTTACTTTTAATCAAGCTTTAGCCACCAGAAGTTTACATAACTAGACCTACATGAGAAATGCAACCAAGCTGACAGTGTGGGGTGGGATTTCCCTTTTCTTTTTTTTTAATAGCATGTAGCATCCTTTGTCTTCCAGTAGGGGGCATATTTGATGCACAGCAGGATGCTAAATGTGTCAGGCTGGACCATATTCAATTTATTACCAGTCATTATGTAAGAGCGAGCATGATAACAAGAAAAAATAAAACAGGCAGCCTTGGTAACAGGCATTTCTACCAGCTGTGATGCTAGAGAGATAATGAAAGCGATGGGTATTCATGTTTTTCTTTATTACTGAAATGTGTTTATGTATGTAAAACAGCACATAAAGAACAGTTCTCTGTGCAAATACATTTTGGTACTTCAACAACAACCACAGATTCTCATAAAAACCAACGATGTTTTCTAGGTCCTCTGAAATAAATACAATATGCTTACATTTGTCAAAGGTAATACCCCGTTACTTGTGTCAAATAAGGGGGGAAAGTGCATCATATAGAAGTTGGGTGGGTGGGGGGGGGGGGGGAGGATGTTTGAAGCAAGCATGGGGATCAGATTGGAGGTTGGGGATGGGAAGTTAAGAATCACGGTGAATTGTTATATTTTTCTTTTGTCTTTTTCCCCACTGTGCAACGAGGTAGGGATACCATGAGTGTGCGAGGGCAAGTGTCAGTCTTAAACCTCTCTGCTGCTCGAATCATCTGCGAATTCTTTACTAAATGTTGTCAGGAAGGTCCGGGGAAGTGCAATTCATATTTGTCAATATGAGGGTTTTGCACTGTGTTGCAAATAAGGTGTCGTTTTGTTTTTTGTTTTTTGCCATATTCAAGACTTCTGATAAATAATTGTATAGATTGTACAAACACAGGATTCACCAGCGGTTCACAGTAATATTCATAATAAGAAGTCTACCCACTACAGGCCCTTGAGATTGAGCTTTTTCTTGATTGCATTACCTTGTCTGAAGCTAATCCCACTGAAAAGTTAATTCAGTGGATTCGTTTTTTGACCCACCTTCCCATATAAAGTGAATTATGTTAGTACAGTTCAATAATTGCATTGTGTTAATGAAGGATTTGACTTGTATAAGGTACCGCTTTCTAATCTCTGCCGCAGCAGCGATGGGGCTCTTTGAGTTTCCAGAGGTAATTATGACTCCTGATGATCTCTGAGGAACCAGAGTCAAGTTTTTCCTCAGGTCTGATCTCACATGTGGCTCTGAAAGAAGCGGTAGCTGAAAGTGGACCTGTTTAAACACTTATACAGACACATATGTCTTTAGCCTTCCTTCAAAGCCAGGTGCAAAAAAAAAACTACATTTTTTTATAAGTATAAAAAGGTGCTCCACGTTGGAAACCCTGTTTTTCACTACAGATGTGTAAATAATGTGACAGGAGGAGGAAATCCCTGCCGACACCCCAGCTGGGTGCTGTCAGTGGTGGGAGGCCCGTGCATGATTTTGATCATGATTACAGTGAAGTTTTGCTCCATTCAGCAATGAGGTGAGGCACAGGAGTCAGGAGACACGATGTCTCTTCCGTTAAAAAAAAACAAAGTAAAAAACAAAAAAGCCTTGACCTTTCAGTAGCCTAACATGCACAAAAGTAGCCAAAACACAAGTTTAAAATCACAAGCCAGCCTTTTGTATCCCTTTGCCTGGAAGAGGTGCAGTATGGAGACAGTGCCATCCTGTTAGATAAGTTAAAGCAGGAGGATTGGGAAGGTGTTCAGGAGAGGCTGATCACACCTATCCAAGTACCGCTCACCACCACCACCACCTCTCTCTGTCTCTCTGTCTCTCTCTCTCTCTCTGTGTGGACTATTTACAGTTTGGATTGTGGATGTGCTGTAACAGAACGACACTTCAGAGGCTTTTCACATAGAACATACAAGCCTCCATCAAAAAACCAAAATCCATCTGTCACCGGGGAAACTCAAGAAGTGAAACACCAGCCAGATATCTGTACAATACAATAGTGCTTTGTTGAGATATAAGAGTGAATCATCATGGACAGTTATCATACACTGAGTGGCATAGTGAGATATGCATATCATCTGGCAGGACAGGGGTGGGGAGGGGAAGGGGGGGGGGGTCAAACCCGGGAAATGAGCACTTCACATTCAGTCATCAAAACCAGCCACATCTCAGACCAACGCCAGGGGGGTCTGAGTCTTCAGTTCACTCCTCCAGATGCCCAGTCAGCTGGGCCTTACTGCAAATTCAAGTGCATAAGTTAAGGAAAAGATTATCAAGGATCATGTCGGCCTATTGCTCCAAACAACTCGAAGGCCTTTGGGTGTTTGCTATACTGATAAAAGGCCATTCTGGACTGGATTTATTCCTAGAAAAGTAAAGGGAGCAGGAGTATCAGTTGTCAGTATTATGTACAGGATCACACACCCCACAGCACAACATCTCCATCAATAGTCTCTGAGCCTATCAGGCGTTTCTCCGGGAGTTACTGGTGGCGGAGGAGCGGCCTGTCTCATGGTCCGGTCTGTATTTGAGCCAGCAGATGAGCCATGTGACGACCACCGAGAACATAGCCAGGATGCTGGCCACCGACAAGCAAATGGGTCCCGCCGGCGAGGGAGGAATGCTGTGACTGTGCACAAAGATCAGGCCCATGAACAGCAACACCAGCATGGACAGAAAGGAGAAGATCACGCAGACGCAGCCGGTGGTCAGAGCGACCCTCTTGCAGCTCTGACAGCTGTCGTAGCGCACCGAGTCCTGGGAGAGGGTCGTGGCCGTGGACACCGTGGTGGACGGGGTCGCCTGGCTGGTGCTGGACGTCCCCGACGCCTCCTCTCGACGGAGGGCGACGAGGGCTGGGTGCAGCGGGGGAGGGTACGGCGGCAAAGCGTCCTGAGGCAGGGGGTCCGAGTCGATGTAGAGCGGAAAATCCTCCGTCACCTTGGTGTTGTTGGGCAGGTTTTGTATCCGATAATCCGGCACCGGAGTCCGGTGGCGACAGACGGGGCAGCTGATGCGCCATGGCCGCTCCTCCCGGAGGTGAAGCGTGTTCAGGCACTCCTCGCAAAACGTGTGCAGGCACTCCAGGATCTTCGGAGCCCGGCGGTCAAGGTCGAAGTAATTGTAGCAGATTTTGCATTCATACTCCTCGTAGGGAAACGCCGAGGAGGCCTCGCCGGGGGGTTCCGCTCCGCTTGATGCCAAATCTACCTCTGCCATGTCATCTTTCGCCATTCACATTCTCCGGTGAACACAAAGGGAGCTGGCGGACAGATGCTGATGACGGTGCACGTCTCTCCTCCTCTCCCCCTCCTCTCCTCCCCGCTCATTGAAACGCCATCATTCCCGCAGATTTTGTTGATGTGTTTTTCATAATCCCCACAGACGGTCCTTTATAGGGAGAGCGCGCGGCCCCGTCTGCTGCTGCTTCTGCTGCTGCTGCTGCTGCCGCTCGGTCTGAAACTGAATCGGGATCCCGTTTAAATATTAAAAAGCTCGCATTTCGCGTTAGGCTGTGTGGGAATAGATGATGTAATGGTGGTGACTCCGATGCGAGGGCTCATCCAACCAGAGCATCCCACAAAACAGCGAGAGAGGAGAGAGAGAGAGAGAAAGGCGGCGATGTGTCGCCTTAAAGTCCCGTTAGGGAGAGAGAGGGAGGGAGGGAGAGTTGTTGTTTTGTGTGCAGGAAGCAGCTATGACAGCCATGCTCGCTCACAATTACGTACAGCGTGCCAGAGACAATAGGATGCGCTAATTTGGTCAGCCGGGGGCGTAAATTCACGGTTTCCTGTAACAAAGAGCATCTAAACTCACACGATGTAGCTACCAACAAAACTTATGTAAAACAACGTCTGTGTGTGTGTGTGTGTGTGTGTGTGTGTGTGTGTGTGTGTGTGTGTGTGTGTGTGGTGATTGTAAAGTTTTGCCGAGCAGCTCATCATTTCATCCAGGTTCTGCTTGCACAGCCAGGTCCTTGTCTATAGGGGGGGGGGGTCTGGAGTGTGCACTGCAAAGAGCAATGAGGTGTCTACCTTATACATAGACTAATCCTCTCATTGCAGCCTTTAGGTTGTCTTCAATCTTGTTTTAATTTAGTAAAACTCACTAAATGACGCAGTCAGTTCAATGAGCATGTACTGTAGTGACAGGTGCTGCAGTAGTTGTGATATCCTTGCAACAGAGGAGTCACACGTGCAAGTCTCAAGTCTTAACCTTCCAGTCTCAAGCAAGTCACAAGTCAAGTTATAAGAAATTCTGATGGGCATCCTCAGTTTCCACATTTCAATCAGTCCAAAGACAGTTTTATTCTCAACATTTACACCATTAAACTGTTGCAGTAAGTTGCCAAGTTTGCGGACTAGAAATCACCCAATCGTGTTTCAAAAACTAAATGTAACTTAATGTAAAAACAAACTGTAGAAAAATGCAAATATAAAAAAAGAAGAAATTAAATTAAAACTAAATTTTGCCCTCTGGGGACAAATAAAGTTTCTTGAATTGAATTTTTTTTTTTAAAAGTCCTTACAAGTCATCCGTCTCAAGTCTAAGTCAAGTCTGAAGTCATGAACACCAAGTCAAAGTCAAGTCCAGTCTTTTATCGGTGTTAGTGAACTCTCAAGTCCTCAAATTTTTTGATTTAAGTCCGACTTGAGTCAAGTCATGTGACTCGAGTCCCAGACCTCTGGTTACAATAATGAAGACGCTGTCAGAGAGACAGAAGTCAGACACAGAGTCATTACTGCACCTTTGATATTTTAGGTATAAAAACATTGACCCATCACTCCAAAGTATGCATGAGCTGGGTCATCATCATCATCATCATCATCATCATCATCATCATCATCATCATCATCATCATCATCATCATCATCGTATCTTATTCTTATATCATCAGACTCATAAGGGTTAAACTTAATTTTAGGTCATAAGATTTGAAGTCATGAGTTTGTTCTGAAAATGATCACTTCTCATTTTAGCTGAAAATAATCCTCTGTAGTTAATAATTTAAGTCTGTTTCACTTTAATCACTTTATGGGTTTTTACAGTGGCGACCAAACTGTCATGAATGAACATATTAGTGCTGATTTAATTCTTTTATAATAGGTCCCGGGCAATTGGTCATTTCTGGGTCTGTGATCTCAAGAGCAGCACGAAGAGAATTAAACCTGGTGTCCGGCTGAGGTGGATGCTGCAGATTCATCATCTACAATATGAAATGAGTGGTCCTGCTGTAGAAGTGGATACTGGCTAAGGGCATTGTTTCTGCTATGGACATAACAGGTGACAAATTAAAGGACTAACCAACATAAAGTGTCTTAGTGGAGGGATGAACATTATTCTTCCTAAACATATTCCCTCAGTTGGGGTTTTGATGACGGTGGTGGAGGAGAGCGCTGTCTAGATATTTTCCATTAATTTTTTCCTGTGTTATTTCTATTTAAGTTATTTCTCTTATAAAGGTCCTTCATTAAAGTTTTCTTTTTCGGGCCTGAACATAGAGCGATTTTGGCAAATATTGAGAAACATTTTCATAGCAGGAAAGAAATTATTATACATTAACATTACCATTAACATTATCCGGTGAGAGTCCCCTCAGGCACACATAACACCCCACAGATCAGTGTGCAGGCGTGAATTAGCGCCGATAACTAACTGTCTATATTACATTTCATTCTAATGCACTCATACATTAACTGACTCTTCTTTTTACCTGCAGCCAGAATGACAAGTGATTCAAAGAAAACTTCAAGACAAAAAAAAAAAAAGCTACAGGCTGTTTTAAGTTGTTCATCTTTCAAACAAGGATAAAGAGTGATGAGCCTACGCCCATCTGCTGGGTGTAGGCCGGTATGGCTCAGGATCAGAGGGCTCTGAGATAAAGATGCAAATGATTAATGAAAAGGGAGATTTGTGCTTTGTGCCCCAAATGTAAAAGCTGTACTCTAAACTCTTATTTGGCTCTAAACTGTCCTTTATTATTTTTATATGTCATGAGCAGCACAACTAACTCCCATATCAGCCTGGTTTTGTACTGAACTACCAATTTTACTTTTCACTTATATCACCTTATTGTCTTACTTTGTTTTTATTTTTATTCTTTTTTTTTTATTACTTTATTGTTCTCAGCAATGTAAAGAGACAAGGTCCACGGAGACCTGCTGGCAGATATATGCAATAAATCTTCCTTCCCCTTGCTATACATAGTCTGTGAGAACACCTGAAGCAACCCAGAATAAAGGTCGAGACTATATTCTACTTCTCAAAACTACCGGGTCTGCCCCCCCTTTTAGCCCCGCCCCGCACGTGCACCTGTAGCGCACAGCTGCCGCACCTGTACTCAGCTCTGTGTGCACCCCGCCCCTCCTGGGATGCGCCCTGTCTGGGCAGATGTGACCTCCTGCTTCCCCTTGCTAAAGAAAACTCCCGCATCACCTCGCTCCCGGACCGTCTGTCTGTGTCGTCGGACATGCTGGAGCTTCTGGCTTACCTCCATGACCCGGAGCTCGTGGCCCGGTTCCAGAGACGATGCGGACTCTTCCTGGTAGAAGCCGCGCCTCACAGCGCTCCGGCAGAAACCGAGAGACCACGTGGGCAGCTGAGGGGACGATGGGACCACCAGGACAAGAATTCAAACTATAAATTCAAGGAGAATGGATGTGCAGCTGGTGTAAGTCATTCACTGCCAAAAACAAACAAACAAACAAACAAAAAAAAAGGATGAAAACGTCATTTTAGTAGAAAATAGAAAACCTCAGTGTTCACTAGAGAGACGACGCCACTTTGAATTTGATCATCACGACATTTAAGATTAATTCAGAAGGAATACATGGATGGTGTTTTAGCACTGGAGCTCTACTTTGCTTTTATTGTAGGACACTGCCATTGAATACATGGAAACTAGGAAGAAAGAGTTAAACACACACACACACACACACACACACACACACACACTCAAACAGAGCTGCTATAAAACAGTTCACTAAAACAAACATTTAGAGTTTTATTTAGAGACTGTGCAAACCAAAGCGTGACTGGCTTTTCTCGTTTGTCTGGGTGTCTCCGTCAGGTCCAGACCAGCCGTGTGGGATGTTGACATTCCTCTGTCTCTCTTTTCATGGGCAAACAATTTATTTAGGCTGTTAAAGTTAAAAAAAAATGCAAGTCAAGTAACTTTCTGGTTTCAGCTGAGCACCTACAGGGCGATGTGGAGCAGGGATGGTGTTATGGGACATAGGAGCTGTAATATATCTTAACATGTTAGGGACAAATGGTTTAAGCTTGAGCTAAACAGTCATCAGTTTTCGAGGTGTAGGGTTTGAAAGAAGTGGGCATTTAAATGGGGAATATAGTGGGTTTTTTGTTGCTGTTGTTTCTTTGTTTTGGAGCTTGACCTATATTAGAGAATAACAGACAGGATATCTCTGCCTCTGCTGCAGAGGCTTTAATCTCTAAATTAAATTTGAGATTAAATCAGTCTGTCTCTGTCTCTTGTGAGTCGACTAACTTTATTGAAGTGCAGCATTGAACTGTCTCAGTGCTCCTTAAAGTGGAATCAGAAGACGACGGCCACTGTAGCAACTAGCCTGTGTTTCGTATTAACGTGTGTGCTTTCTTAATCTAACAGATTTTGACTTGGTGCTGTTATAACTCATGAACTTAAGTTTTTATAAAGATACAGTTCTTGTTGTTTAAACATTTTGACACAAACTTTTTTAATCTTTTCTTTTCCTCACCCCCAATCCAGAACAAAGCGCATACATAAAGCAATAGGGTGAGCAACATCTCCATATAATATTTACCTATACACAACCATACATACACAAATGCTCCTACATATACACACCTATGTAAATATATACATATACAAACAAAAAAATAATGAAATAAATAAATGAATTCAATAAATAAAAGGCTTTAATATTTCATTTTATGTTCGTTTTATGTGTATTACTTATATCATCTTCTCAAACAAGATCCGTCTGATGAACTTAAATGTAAAGAAGCTGCAAAAAAAAAAAGGGTGTGAGTGCGCTGTTTGGCTGGGAGATCTAATCTGTAATCTAAATCTGGTTTCATTCCTTCCAGGAGCCATCTTTAGGCACCTGGTTCTGTCATGTGTAGCTCAGTGACAGGTGTTTATTCTCTGCAGGGCCGCAGCAGGCCTCAGTATGAGGTGAGGAACTGGCTGCTGCACTTCCTCTTCCTGATCTCGTCAGGCCTGGGTCACGAAATCTCCTACATCACCTGCCTGCCCTGCATACACTGGAACCTGGACCCGTTCCTGTGCCGACGCCTCGTCAACATGTGGACTGTAAGCTAGAGCGACAATCTGTGTGTGTGTGTGTGTGTGTGTGTGTGTACATGTGAGTCAGACCACCTTAGTGTGCTAAAACGTCTCCCTCACAATGCCGTCTCTCTTCTCTCTGCTGTTCTCTCTCCCTCTCTTCGCCTTTCAACCTCCCTTTCATCCTTCTCCCCCTCCGCTATGGCCTGTCTCTGACACCACCATGCCCATATATCCCCAGGCTTTTGGGGTGGGGGTGGGGGGGGCACTGCGGCCCAGTCTGACCGGGGCCCCTGAAATGGTTTGAGGCCAAACGTGAGGAGACATCAGTGGAAAAAGACGACTAGCATCTCGCCTTTAGATGTTTATCCCGACAGAATCCAGCACATTACGACGAGAGACGCCTCAAAACATGTCAGATGTGATCCCATGGAGGAGAATATCTGACACTTGTAGAGACACAGACAGACACAGACAGCCATACACCCTCACTCCTACAGAGTGTGTGATGGGAAGTGTGTTTTTCTGCCCTTTGTGTCCCTGCCCTGAGCGCTTGGTGGGCGCCCTGTGTCTGAACCCCTTGTTTGGCCCCCCAGGGAAAGAAATCCCATTCTTCTGGCATCCCCGCTGCACCAGGCCCCTGTGTGAACTCCTGTCAAACACACATAAACACCAACACACACACATGCTCGCGCTCCCCACCTCGCCCTGATAAACACACTCGTTGCCCTCCCTCTAGTTAGACATTACCAGCTTTACTCTGTGTTCTCCTCCCCCTAGTCTACCAGCAGAGTGTTTTATTGGCCTCATCAGCGCTCTGAGCTTTCTCTCTCTGGACCGACCATTTGGTCTGTCAGCCCTCAGGGCGCATCACCCCTCACTTCGAACTTCTAACAGCACCCTGCCATTGTGCTGGTGAAGTTATCTAAGGTTCACAGAGGCCTGTGCACTCCCTCTCTCCTCCACTCTGTCACTCTCTCACACACACACAACACACACATAAAACTGGCAACTCCTCGCCGACGCCAACGACTGAAGTGCATCCATGCAAATTAAGATTTGGGTGCACGAGCAAACACATTACAGGCCCATGAATGACACACACACACACACACACACACACACACACACACACACATTACGCACACATGCCCCTTTGTGTCCTTCACTACTCTCTGTTTTCTTTATTGCAGGGTGACTTTGGTTGACTTAGAAAACAATGACTGTCATTAACCATATGGTCATGAATTACATAGTAGTGTTGTATGGTATTATTATAGTGTTGTATTATGCAAATCATACACCTACTGCTGTTTGGAATATCAAAAATCTAAAGTTGTACTTATACATACTGACACGAAGGGCAAACACTGAGAGAAAGTAGGTTTAGAAAGAGGCATGTAGAGCTTCTGCCGCTCTCGGGAACGTTGGTGTGTTGTCCTCATTTGTATGCAGTAATGATGACAGAGGAGGGTCACAGTCAATGACAAAAAGTCACTTTATTCTGAGAGGACAAAACTTTTTCAGCTGCACGGCCTCCGTCAGCCATCAGTGATGAAGGCTGGACATCAGAAAATGTCGCAATGTAGGAATAAAAGGACTTCTATTCTTTGAGTGTAACACTGTCCTGCCACCATCACAAAGAAACTGTGATCAACTGACGTTTTTACCAGCATAATGACTATATTTTTTTCTGCTGCAACTTAAAAAGTGTTTGAAAATAACAAGAACAAAAAAATATCTCATTATTAACAAATCAACTACAATAAAAATGTAACTTACTTTTAGCCCCAGTAGCAGGTGGCTCTGCTCAGTTGGTCCTGACTGAAGCAGCAGTACAGACATTCATGTTCCCCAGAGGATGAATCCCAGTGACTTTGGTGATCCCACGACTTCTACCTGTTGCACCACAAGAGAATCAATATTTTTAGTTTTTGAGTGACATGTCTCAACATCTATTGAACTGTTTGCCAGGAAATATTCATGTTCCCCTCAGGATGAACTGTAATAACTTTAATCTCTTAATCTTTTTATCTAACACCATCATCAGGTCAAATTTCTAATATGTTCAATATCTGTTGTTATGACACAATACTTGCAAATGCATATCCCATACTCCGCACTAAGTGTATACGGTATAAGCTTTATAGTGAACTGTTTTTGCAGTTACTAAACAAGACACCACAAGGTGGGTGAATTATTGAATCAATGGAAAAATGGAGGCATCCACAGCAAAAAAACAAACTGTGCAAAACAGCAGCATTCTGGGTAAAATACAAGTTTGTAAAAGAAACACCAGAGAACTGTTAAGGTGGTGAGCAGGTCAGCGATGTCTGAGCTCAACTTTAAAACTGGACCCAGAAGAACCACAGATTCTGTCGCCTCATTAAGGCTGTCTCTGTAATTTGCAGTAACCATGCTGTGGGGATTCTGCATATTGGCACTGCGGTCATATTACGGCGGAAGTCTTACATATCTGCAGAAAATACTTCTCGGTTTAAGAGAGTGTGTAGCAGCATCACTCCCAGAATGCCTATTGATCAAATAAAGCTCAATTATTCGCTGCAGAGGACCTCTGCAGTTCTAAACTGAAACTTCTAATGGCTTTGCAGTTAAAATCTTTATTACACTGAAATGTGTTTTTCTCAAATATGCTCATTTTGCGTGCACGGATAATTTTTATAATCACAGAGGATTTACTCTAAGAGTGCAATTTCCTATCACCGGTGTTGGAGAGTGGCTTTCCAAAAGCATAACCTTATTTTGCAGTGTGTTGGTGGTCACTGGGCTGCTGGGATGCAACAGAAAAATATGACCTAGAAACCAAACCTGCTATTAATCATGTCACAGTAGAACAAAACAAACATCTTGTGTGTTTTCTCCATTCAAACAGTGACCTGTGCAAGAGCCCCCTCTTCCTTACGCACTCACAAACACACACAGTCTCACACACTTCACTCACTCTGAGCCACATGTTGACAGATCAAGGTCCAAAGCTTCCCTGGCCTCAATCAATACACTCATTCACGAGAAAACACGCACACTCCCAGTGCTACTATCTGTGTGTGTGTGCGTTTGTGTGTGTGTCTTGACCTGTCTTTAACTCTTCCCTTAATGTGACCAGACTGTCCCTGGGTCAGTCCTTTGATGGTTCGTACAAAGCCACCAATGAAACAGTGGCGTGATGGCTTTACTGGAGGCAGCTGAATATGATGTTTGTGTTGATGGTGCGTGCAGGCGTCGGGTGGGGGGTCGGGTGGGGTGTAGCATCGTATCATTCAAGCTAGTAGGCAGATTCATTGTGTGAAGGCAGAGGGAAAGGGGGGGGGGGGTCACAGTGGATCATGTGTACACTGTATGGCTTGTTGTATGAATACACAGTCATGGTGAATGAATGGGATCAGACATACTAAATGGGTTTACCATTGTCAGTCCTTTGTTTTTTGTACATTTCATGATACCGATTATTGTGTTGGGCACGTGTGTGTACACTGTAGGTAGATGCTAATGTTGGAATTATAACATTTACGTTCAACCGTAACCAGAGAGAATTAAAAGAAAGATTTACTGTATCTTTTGGAAAGCACAAGACATTATTGTAAGAGGGGTTTATCTCATTACGTCCCTTATTTCTGCTCATATCTCAACCTACAGTGGCCAAAATCATTCAGCGGAATGCTAACATCAGCATGCTAACATGCTCATAATGGTAGTGTAACTGGGTCCTGTAACTACTTCCTGAATAGCAACAGGTTATGTACAGGTTGTCACTGTTGAAAAAAGGTGGACAGATAACCTGCTATCTTTCAGGAAGTAGTTACAGCACTTAATTCTCCCTTAAAACATACATTTCTAGCCAACCTATCAACACGGCAAAACTCGAAAATGTCCTAATTGATAATATGGTAAATGTGCTAGCATGCTAACACTAAGATAGTAAATATTTCCTCTAAACATCAGCATGTTTGCATCGTCATTGTGAGCATGTTAGCATGCTGACAGTTGCTAACATGAATCGACGACTCCTGTCTTGTTATGTTATTGTTTGTGTACAGATCAAACCAACAAGAAACAATGTATTTATGATATGTAGAGGGACTTTAAGGAAGCCAGGCTAGCCCCTTCCCCTTGCTCCTGCTCCCATCTTTATGCTAACTTAAGCTAATCATATCCTAACGCTAGCTCCACACCTAGCACAGACATGACAGTATTTTCTCACCTCACTCTTAACAAGCAAGCTTAATTCCTTTAAGGGAAATCTTAATGCTACAACATACAATATTTTAGACGACTTCATGGCAACAGATAAGTGAAGGCCCCTATTTTAAACACGACACTGCCCCTGTGCACAAAGCCAGGTCTGTAAGAAATGGCTTTCCCCACTTTGGCGTGTAAGAACTGTGCAAAGCCCTGACCTCAACTCCATCAAACACCTTTGTGATGAACTGTGAGTCCGGCCTCTTCACCCAGCATCAATGCTGGACCTCACTAATGCTCCTGTGGCTGAGTGGAAGCAGATCTGTGCAGCCACTTTCCATATTCTTGTCCAATCTCTGCTTCGGGAAATCCTTTAGAGGTTATAGCAAACTATTAATTCCCCTGGATATGGAATGAGAATAAGAGAGAGTAATGGTCTGGCATCTGCATATCTTTGGCCGTTTTGAGTTTGATTTCCATCTCTTCCTCCTCCTATCTGCTTTCCTCTGTCTCTACAAGTTTGCTACACTAACAGCGGGTCAGGAGACGTACTTTTATATCTCATTTGCCATGGTAACAAGCGTTTTCTGATTACAGTGTCAGTACAGATGGTAATAACAACCTCTCTATTCTCTCCCTTAAACACACACATTAGTGTCGTGCTCCCTCTGTGTGCGCTGCCTCCCTGCTCCTCGCTAAGACAGCCATTCATTAAATATACAAGGCAGAGCTTTAAATAAACCTGGAGCTGGAGCAGGCTGCCCCTCCGAGGGCCGCTGGGGAGCTCATGAAAGAGAATAGGCAGCACATTTGGCAAGACACACACACACACACACACACACACACTAACACACCACTACCTACACACCACCACACACACCTTGCACTGACTGTGTCATTGTGTCAAAAGCCCTCTGTCTCACTCCCCCAGCTGAAGACACTGTGTCAGCAAACCCTGCCCTCTTCAATTCCCAGTTTCTTACAATAGATTTTGTTACCGTAACGACTGCAGCATCTGCACTTTATTCCAGGGTGGGTCTCCATCCCTTGTACAGTTTTGTCTTCTTCTCCTCCTTTCTTTCTTTTTTTTTCTTTTTCCCTTTGAGTTGGGAGTGTGATTACTTATTTATGAGAGAGTGTGGTTAGTTTTAGAGCATAGCCTAATCAGGATTTTACTTCCTCTTCTCATTATTTTATCATCACCTTCCTCTAGCTCTAATTTCTTTGCTTTTGTTGCCAGAACACTGCAGTACTTGAGTCTTCTCTGGTATTTAATCATAATTACACTGTTAAATAAACTTACCTGCACAAGGAAGAAACCATAACGGCTCCTTTTAAGCACAAGCTTATTTCAAATTGTTTCCCTTTCAAAACAATTCATGCAAATGTGTGAAATAAACTAAATGTAAGAGATATTTGGTGGGAACCTGCTTCTAAGAGACACGTACTCTTACCTTCTCTCCGAGGTGGTGATGTATGTCGGCCAGGTGATGAAGGACGTGCTGAAGCTGCCTCGCCCTCTCTCACCCCCTGTGGTGAAGCTGGAGACACGTGTCGACGCCGAATATGGGCTGCCCTCGACTCACGCCATGGCTGCCACCGCCATCTCCTTCACCTTTTTACTAAGCGCCCCCTCGAGGATACAGGTGAGCACCGCTGAGCGCTGTGATACCTGATAGCACAAAGAATTAATCAGACTCAACTTTTATTCTAATCTCAACCTTGACTTTTTAATATTTATTGTTTTTTAGTGAAATAAAAAAAAAAAAAGAAGTATCGGAGAGTTTGCACATTCATGTTCCCCTCAGGATGATCCCTTGACCTCTCATGTAGTAAAATAATCTGGTCAAAATATTCCTTTCCCCAATACTTTGGTTTACTATGGATTTAGTGCTAATTAGAATGCTAACACATAAAATTATGCTGGTAAACATTTAACCTGCTAAATATCAACATGTTAGCATGTGTTAGCTGATATTAGCATTTCGCTCAAAGCAGTGCAGTGCTTAAATATAGCTTCGCAGAGATGCTAGCATGTGTCATGAAAGGTCAAAAATGAACCTCCACGCTCACCTTGTTGCATTATTTATTATATTTTCTCTTACTGTTAAAATCTAAATACGTTAGCTCTCCCTGTGACTGATTTGTCATGATTTTATTCATCAATAACAATAGAAGATCTGGTGTTTCAATGCACAGAAACCTGACGTGTAACCACTTCAACAAGCTGCAACATCAGTCTGATATTTAGAGGTGCTGATAACTATCACAGTAAAACCATTTCCTGATTGGTTACTGGGATATTATTGCTGAAACTGCACTGCTCATCACAGTGAAAAATGATATTACCACCATAACTGACTGCAGATGATCTACCTCCACTTCATTAGAGCAGGGAAGCGTAGGCTAAGTGAGTGTTGAACTGTAGTTCTGACACTAGGTATCTCATTAGCTGTGAGTTTTATGGATTCCTTTAAGATTAACAAGGCACCAACCAGTAAGTGTTAAATTAGTCGCTCCAGATGAGCAGCCGGTCTCAAGTCAAAGAGTTGAATGAGGTGAAATTTGAGGCACTGGGAGCCTGTGGATGGCGGCGTGCTCGAGTGGGATGAAGGGAGTGGCCCCGCTGTCCATCAGTGAGTCCTGACTGAGCTGTTGGACAATGGGCAGGGAGGGGCGGGGCCAGCAGTCACCATCAGTCACCATCAGCCACACCCATCGAGCTGCTGTTTGGTCTTCTGATGGACTCGACTGAGTCAATGACTGTCAGTCCAAGTCTCTGCCTCCCTCCTCCCTCCTCCTCCCTCCTCCTCCTCCTCTCCCACTCTGCTGCCAAGTCAATAAAACACTCAGTGGCTCAATCGTAGGCCGTCTTAACCGAGCACTGTGTTTTAATGAAGAACTCCGTCAGTAGTTTACAGTCTCCGCAGCTGTCGGACTGATTTGTGGTCAGATCGCGTCAGCGGCTAGCTAGTCATTCTCATGGTCAGAGAAATCATCACAGCAGCTCGGAAACACCCATGTACAGTAGAGCACTTTACTGTGGCCTGAAATTCCTCAAGGCTTCCCCCCTGAAAGAAAAGAGCGTGCATAGCTATAAATGAGTATCAGGCTGTTGCAGAGGCTCCTGAATAGCCACGAGGCCTCAGGGCAGCTCGGCCTGTTCCCAGAGCAGGTCAGAGGTCATGACAGTCAATCACAGAGTGACCCCCTCCTGTCCCTGGCATCCTTTGTGGCCATTCATAAAAAACCTCTCTTCATGAACTACCAGTGAATAGGCTTCCAGCTGCAAAAGACAGGAAAAGACACAGGAAAAAAGGGGCAGAGAGAGAGAGAGAGAGAGGAGGAGAGGAGGGGTGCACAGGAGGGGAGGGTGGAGGAGGTGAATGAATACACAAGGCCTCTCTTCTCACTGTTATTGAAATGGAGGGGGGAACAAAAACCTGCCGCCATAGGTAAAGGAGGGAGGGGAGAGAGGATGGAGACAGTGGAGGAATAAAGGAGCAAGTGACTTGATGACGGGCAGTACGTCAACCAGGCAGAGAGGACAAAGAGGAGTTACACGTCAACGTTGAGGAGATTGACAAATGGATGACTTGATCACAAACTGAGAGGAAAGGTTTTTGTTTTGTTTTTTTTTGTTTTTTTTAAAGTGGAGGACGAAAACTGTTTGTGTCTGCTCGGAGGAATGTGAAGAATTTCATACGACATTCTACTTTCACAGATTTAATCTTGTATCTGATCAGGAAGTGGCTTTTGATGATTGTGTGTATGTGCGCGTGTTTCCGTCACACAGTTCCAGTTCGAGGTGGGTCTGCTGATCGCGGTGACGCTGTCGTCCTTGGTGTGTCTGAGCCGTCTCTACACTGGCATGCACTCAGTTTTGGTGAGCTACAACACCCCCACCACCCCCCTCACCCCACCTACTCATGCACACGTTCTACAGCATAAAACATTCAAGCTCGTCGCACTATTCATTATTCATATCTGTGTCTGGTTAAACTGTCTCGCTGGGGCTTTGATCCAAGACTTTTAAATGTTGCCTTCTTTTCATTTTAAAATCTTGACACCGCAATATTAAGTAACAGTTATTTTAATCAGTTATATTTAAATACACAGTTGACATTTGTCAGGGTGGCCTAGGAGTAATGATTTTTGCTAAATATACAAAAAAAAATAATGTGTTTAAAGCAATAGTCTGCAGCTGGTTAGCTTAGCTTAGCATATAGACTGAAAACAGGGGGAAACGGCTAGCCTGAATTATGTTTGAAGGTAACAAAATCCTCCTACAAGAACCTCTAACACTCATGAATTAACATGCATAATTCATAAAAATGACAAACCAGTGGAAAAAATAAATGTAAAAACAAAAAGGGCGTGGTTTGACAGGGTGTGTAGGAGCATGACAACAAATTTTGGAAGTTACTACACCCCCCAAAACCACAAACTGTCTTTTTTACACCCATTTTTCTTTTACAGATTAAACAAACAGGATATAAGGTGTTAATTAATGAGTTTAAAAGGTGTTGCTAGGCAGATTTTGTTGTCTTCTGACAGAGCCAAGCTAGCTGTTACCCCTGTTTCCAGTTTATCTAAACTAAGATAGTTCAGATATGTATTTAATATTTAATTTATATTTAACGGACAGACATGGGAGTAGCATCAATCTTCTCATCTGAAAACAAATATGCAAATGTTGAGCTGTAGCTTTAAGTGTTGATGGTAAAACACTGTCATTATTCTGCTTTCAGGATGTGATCAGTGGCGCTTTAATCTCCGCCGTCCTCCTCTTCCTCACCTATCCTTACTGGGAGACCTTCGACCACTTCCAGCTCACCAGCCACATCTCCCCGGTCGTGGCGTTGGCGCTGCCGCTCTTCCTCAGCTACACGTACCCAGAGCTGGACCATTACAGCACCACGCGGGGAGACACCACCACCATTCTCGGGGTAGGGGCCGGATGCTCAGTGGGGTACTGGGTGAACGAGCAGCTCGGGCAGACTTTTGAGCCCCAGGGCGCGTTACCTGTACCTCTACCCACACTGACGGCTAATGCGCTGGCAGCAGGCGTGGGCCGCTTCCTGTTGGGAGTTACAGCATTAGTGGCAACTCGACAGATAGTGAAAACAGCGAGTCTGCAGGTGTTATATTCCTGGTACAGAGTGCCAAAAAGCGACACGACTGCCCAGAGGAGGAGAGAAATTGAAGTGCCATATAAGTTTGCCACATACACATCGGTTGGACTTGTTAATTCTATATTGGTCAATAGAGTCTTCATTCTACTGGGGCTGCTATGACCTGATGAAGACTGATGAGTAATGATCTGAATTTGCAATGACAATAATGTACCTCATATTTATTTCAACTGTGTACAATGATCTTTGTTTTTTGTTTTTTTTACATGTTAACAACTTGAGAAACAAGGAGCTCTTACTGGGAATGATTCACAAGAGCGAGCTTGTGACTGACCTGTAACTGAGTCGAATAGAAAATAAAAAGTTTTGCTCACGTAGCAATAAAGTTTTTTTTTTTTTTTATGACTTCATTCTCAGTTGGATCAGTATTTGAATGGTGCATCACTCTCTCACTGCAGCGTTGTGTATTTCAGGACGAACACGTGCCGGAAAAAAATTTCCATAACCGAGCTCGCTGTCAGACGAGACGAGCTCAAACCAGTCAGCAAAGTCAGATCAAAATCAGTTTAATCACTGAAACTTGGCAACGTCATTACAAGGACACCTATCTTTGTCTTTGTCCTCCAGGGCATATGACTCGGCGGGTTACAACAGGCCATCTGTTGCACCGTATTGGCCTGGTTTACTGTACGTTCAGGACTGACTGAGCAGGAATGAAAGTGTTAACCTTCTCTTTTTTTTTTGTTGCTACAGTACAGTTTGAAGGAATGCCGGAGCACCTGTCAGACTTCATTTGCAAGACGGCTTGTTATCTTGCACAGCTCACTTTCATATGGGAGTCTACTGGCTGCAGCAATCTGCCTTTGAATCGACAGTGAGGCATCAATAGACAGACACCGTGCAGGCGGGAATCTGTGCTTGTTACCTGATAAAAGATTCAAAGCAGAAATCAAAAGTTAGAATGGCTTTATTTGATGTTTGAAGGCAAGAATGTTTTGTACTTGTATCAAAGGATCAACAGTCTTTTCAAATGAAGGACCTGAGCTTCGGTTATTGGATAGTTACATGGACGTTGGAAAAGCTATGGAGCGTTGTGTTTCACACTACATCGCCTACACATCTCAAGCTGAGACCAGAAAAACATCAGATGGAACCACTCAGTGAATTTACTCTGTCTGTTATGATTCAGATCTTGTTGAAAGCAGCAACATCCACAGACTGAACATACTCCTCAAAGGTGGTGATGGCTTCCTCCAGGAGATCCGTACCCACTTTTTCGTCCTCCACTACGCATCCTATCTGGAGCTTCTTGATGCCGTAGCCCACTGGGACCAGCTTGGACTGCCCCCACAGCAGCCCGTCCATGCTGACGCTGCGGACGCACTCCTCCAGCTTGGCCATGTCCGTCTCGTCGTCCCAGGGCTTGACGTCGAGCAGGATGGAGGACTTGGCGACGAGAGCTGGCTTCTTGGACTTCTTGGCGGCGTACTCGGCGAGTCGCTGCTCCTTGATTCTCTCCGCCTCTGCGCTCTCTGCCTCGTCGTCCGAGCCAAATAGGTCGATGTCGTCGTCGTCGTCGTCATCACTGGCGTTGTTTGTGGAGGCGGCGGGGGCGGCTGGGAGGACAAACTGACTCTTGGCTGACGCCAGGCTAGCTCTTTCCCTCTGGAAGGACTTGATGTGCTTGTACCAGCGCAGGAGGTGGCAGAAGGTCAGCGACGGAGCAGAAGGGATGGCATCAAACACTGCCATGTCAGCTTGAGATGCTGCAAAGCCCTCCACGTAGCTTTTGTCCGCCAGAAACTCATCGAGAGCTTTGAGACCGGCTGGCGTGCTCATGTCACCGAACACAGTTTTTGTAGAGGTCGGGCGGGAAGCCGGGGCCTGACAGGAGTCGCTTAGCGCGGGGAACCTGTGCGGGATGACTTCCTGCATGGGGACGTCGTGTGTGAGGAGGGTTTCAGCAGTGTGGCCACTGGAAGAACCAAGGCAACAAAGCAACAGGTAATGAGTCACTGAGCTTAATTACCATGCACTAACCCCAAGGCACAAGTAACCTAAATTAAGACCAGGCATGCATGTACAGGCCCACACACAGATGCACACCGAGTACGTCACAAACACAAAGGAGCCTTGTTAATTTTTGATTCTTCTGTTTTTAGTAGAAACAGCCTTGTTACTGATATAAAAAAAAAAAAAACACTCTGGACTCATAGTTCTCCCATGCACCAGCTACACAGATCTGCATCACACCACGAGCACACAAACCAAACGCCCATTATCTGTTTGACAAATTTCAAGCCTTATATATTTTTTTTTTCCTTTCTGTTTTGATCTGTATAAACTGGTCTGTATTTTTCTATGAGTGAGGGGTTTAGGTTTAGGGAAGGTGAAATCACAGGAAGGGCTCGATGTCCATCTCCAGGGCGGAGCAGGGCATGGTCAGCTCGAAGCGGTTGATGACGTCTGGGTGGAGGACTCCGAGACGCCCGACGCTCTTTCCGCGGACAAAGATCTCTGCACAGCGGCCGGGAAAAAAGGTGGAATCTAAAAGAAGACAAGAAAAAAAAACAACAATTACTTTAAGAGAGAAGGCTTCTGGCATCACTTCCACCTACTAATGTCAGGCTTATGTTTAAATATGCTTCAGTGTTTTGCACCTACACAATTCACTTCTTCTTCTCTTGCTAAAATGTATCACTTCCACATCCTTAGTGTTCTTTCAACAACAACAATTCTCACCTCCACTAGCTTGTGTGTGTCCTGATAAACTATTGTAGAACCAGTGTGTTACTATAACAAGCCATCTGTTGGATCTGGGAGTTTCTTGGATCATGTTTAATAGCATCAAATCGGAGCAGATTTCTTTATGGTCTCTACTGCTGAAGCATTAATTTGTCTTTAAAGTATTGATGACATCTTTCTTGCACATCACATCACAGAGATCATGAGTCAGTCATACAGTGTGGGTGCTACTGTGCCTCCTTTCTTGGTCCATGATTTTCTCTTAATAATAGTTTGTTCACCCACATCGCTCGTCAACGATCAGCTCTGCAACAAGTATTCCAAACAAACCCCCCCCCCAAAAAAAGCCCTAAAAAAGGCATCACTTCCTGTGCACCAAATATTTTTTCCAAGGAAAGCTGGAAATGAAATGTTTTGATGACAGTTTAATATCAGTCACCGACAGAAATAGCAAAATGTACAAAATGTTTATGTGAAAATGTCACAGGTCATCACATTCACACACATTTCTCCTTCTGATTAAAATCTGATGGTCCAGTGTGTGTGTGTGTGTGTGTGTGTGTGTGTGTGTGTGTGTGTGTGTGTGTGTGTGTGTGTGTGTGTGTGTTTGTGTGTGTCTCAGGAGTAAAGGTCACTTCGATCCAGATGGAATAAAAAATAAAATAAAATAAATAAATAAAAAAACAGTGAGAGGCATTTGCTCACTTTGCTCAAACACACATGACATGCAGACAAACAGACGGACGGACTTGTGAGAGATTTAACGAGATACAGGGGTTTCTATGACAACAGCCCCACACGCAGAGACGTGGCTTTCTCCCATAGTGCACCGCTTCTTCCCACGCTGCCGTGCTAATGGGTTCCAGAGCCCACTGCTCATCACTATGGATGAAGGCTTACAAAACACATGGACTGTACTTTGAAAGCACGAGTGTGTAAGAGTGTGTGAGAGAGAGAGAGACAGAGAGAGAGCAACTAAAGCAGGGAAATTCTGTCATTTGTTTCAGCTGCCTGTTCCGTGTCTGTTAGGTGTATTAAATGGCAGGAATTTACTTGCGTCGCCTCACGCGTCATCTACTTGTACCATGAGTGCGATGCCATGGCAACTATATAAATAGCTCTGGTACATCTTAAATAACCAGTCAGTCAATGAAAATCCTACACTTGAGCCAGGCCACTTTCCGCCCACTCGCCTCCAACTTTCAGCAGAGCTTTCAGCGGAAGGCAGAGTGAGACGTTTGCATCCGATAACCGACATCACCGGCTGATGTTGACCTTATTGTTTTTGCTATAGGTTCTGTTGTCATTTCATTTCAAACAGACACAGAATCCACACAGGTTCTATCTGGATCCAGAAGACAAGGCCGAAGTGACGCCTCTCCACGAGTAAAGGGGCTGCTGACACACACAAGATGAGACTTTACAGGGTGATTAGTATGGCTTTCAATATTGAGTGGCAGGGACTGACAGCGCTGTTTCATCATCAATTTATCTTCAAATTATTTTCTTGATTAATCATAAGTTGCCATAAATTACGAATAATGACCATTAATACGTCAAAACGAGACAAAGAAAAACAGCAAATCCTCACATTTGAGAAGCTGATTCTAGAGAATATTTGATATTAAAATAATGAATTATTAGAATATGTTTTATTTTTCTGTGTCTAAAGATCATCACTATTCATTAAAAGGTAATACCAGTTTAAAACTTAAGTATTAATTTCCAGGGGTTATAATAAAGTTGACATGAGGAGACACTGGCACTGACTTCAGACACACTGATAAAGAACAAGTCAGGAGAAAGAAGTACGTGCATCCAAAGAACGACAAAACAGTAGAATCCACTCACTCTGAGGGAGTAAAAAGAACAGTGAGCAGATTCTACTTTTTAAAATAAAAAACAACTCTGACAACGATCTAGATTTTTGTTAACGTCAACAAATATAATGAAAACCAACGATCTATTATGCCGTCTCTCAGCCCCGGCTCCACAAGTCTGAGACCACTAGTCAAGATACTTGTGTTTTTCCATTTGTTTCGAATGTAATGCTGAAGGATACTCGAGCTGCATGGAGTTTCTGCAAAACCTGATGACCCATGCTCTCCCTCTTGTGATGTCACAGAGCGCTCGGCTTTTCTCAGTCTTCAAGTGCCTCCATAAATGTTCAATGAGACTGTGGAGGGAAAGTCTATGACAGTCAGGACTCCTTGGTCTTCCTTGGTTTTCTTGCAAAGCCTTGAGGGGTGTTTGGAGTCATTATCCTGCTGCCGTTTGAAGGCTTCTCCACAGAGATGCAAGCCAGAGGGTGTAGCACGTCTCTGAAGAATGGAGCGGTGCTCCTCCTCCGTCAGTGTGCAGTCAAATCAGTGCAGGTGTCCAACTCCAGAGTAGGCAAAACACCCACAGACTTGAGTGTCATCTGAACGCGTTAACTCAAACAAACTGAGCTCTTGTATAAAGGAGTTATGTTGGTCGATGCCCCAAATTTGCTTAAATTTGATTACCGAGATAAAAACAGAATCTTAAATGTTTCTTCTACATTTTACAGGACATAACAAGATTTACATGAAAAATCTCAGATTTTAAATGTG